CGGCCGCGGCCCAGCTTCCCTGGAGCCGAGCCCTTTCCCTGATGCCCGCTCGCGGACGAGGTCGCTTCCTTTGGGAACTGCGTCCATTACTTCCTTCCTTCCTCTAGCGGTGGTGGCGATTATCTCTGCTTTTAATAGACGAGGCAATTAACTACCATCGATGTAATGGTGTAGGGGCCATCCTGTGCCCAGGTGGTTTCAAAGGAAACGAGTTAGCCCTTGCCCACAAAAACATCAAGGAGCCTCCTGGCATTTTAACGACGAACGAGACGTTATCATGGATTGCAAGCCTCCTTCTCAGATGCCTGGCAGCACTGCGTGGGCAGCGCACGTTTAGGAGCTTGGGCCCGATAAAAATGAGTCTTCATAATGCCTGGAAGCGTCTTTGCTGTTTTTGCTGCAACAGACTCGGCTGGTTACTGGATACACTCCCCAGCGCATCTTATTTACTGTCTTCAGTTATAATCCTTTGCAACATTTATAACATCAAATTCTGGTCACTGTTTCTTCTGAGTAACAGATGCAAGTACTGTAACTTTTGAAGTTTGCTTTTGGGAATCAAAAGCAAACTTCACCCTCCACTACCACCAGTATCATAGATGCAACAGTGGAAACAGTGGAAAGCCATTCTAAAAATGTTTTGTTCTTACTCTGTTCTCTTTTTAACACCATGCTGGCCAAAATTCTCTGGCTTTGCATAGTAAATTGCACTAGAGCAGTGGTTCTTAACCTTGAGTTACTCAGGAGTTTTGGACTGCACCTCCCAGAAGCCTTCACCACCAACTGTGCTGGCTGGGGTTTCTGGGAGGTGCAGTTCAAAAACATCCGAGTAACAAAGGTTAAGAACCACTGCACTAGAGTATGCCCACTGAATCAATGGGGATTGAGTGAGTCAACTCCTTTGTAAGTTCCATTGATTCAAATGGGACCACTCTAGTGCAGTTTACTACACTAAGCAACAAAATTTTGGCTGCCATATTAGAAGATATAAAATAAGTACTGTGTCATCATAATTTAAAGCAGCGGACTTTGAAGGAACTTCCCTGCTCACTGATCCTGCCACTGGATTATTTCTCACATGAACAAAGGAGATAATTAAAGCCCCATTTCCACCTAATTCAAACTAGAGTAAAACTGCAACAAATATATTCAGCTTCTCCCACATTAAAACCCATAGATTCCACCACCACTCTAAGTGCTATTCTTGTTGTTTAGTCATGTCCAACTCTTTGTGACCCCATAGATCAGAGCATGCCAGGCCCTCCTGTCTTCCACTGCCTCCCGGAGTTGTGTCAAATTCATGTTGGTTGCTTTGGTGACACTGTCCAACCATCTCATTCTCTGTTGTCCCCTTCTCCTCTTGCCTTCACACTTTCCCAATATCAGGGTTTTTTCCAGGGAGTCTTCCTGGAAGTGCTATATATCTCTAATAATCCCACCCCTAGTGTTTCCCTCCATGCTAGGTTTTTTTTTCACACACCCACCATTCATTCTGCCCCTGATTTGCCCTGGAACTCACTTCCACTTATGCAGAAATTGAGTTCCATATTTAGAGATTCGAAGATACTGATTTGTCAATTACATCCACCAAATTATTACTGTTAAAATTATTGCATATTACCACCAAAGTAACTTGAAATATTGATTACATCTCATTAAGAAATCAAAATAAAAGTATTGGCGGAAAGATGCATGAGAGACAGATGAACTACTTAGCACATATAGTATATCACAGGAGTACACCCTCACATTTCATAAATGTTTTAGTATATCTTTTCCTGGGACAACACTGAAGAAATGACACTTGGCTACAATGTAAAGCACTGAGTATACAGCTTGTATAACAGTGTAAATGTGCTGTCCCCTCAAAATAAAGCAACACACAGTCATTAATGTCTAAACCGCTGGCAACAAAAGTGACACACCCCTAAGTAACAATGTCCAAATTGGGCACAAAGTGTCAATATTTTATGTGGCCACCATTATTTTCCAGCACTGCCTTAACCCTCTTGGGCATAAAGTTCACCAGAGCTTCACAGGTTGCCAGTGGAGTCCTCTTCCTCTCCTCCATGATGACATCACAGAGCTGGCGGATGTTAGAGACCTTGCGTACCTCCATCGTCCACACACGCTTGACACCATCTGAACCAAATTAGATTATCTTGGTCTCATCGGACCACAGGACATGGGTCTAGAAATCTGTGTCCTTAGTCTGCTTGTCTGCAGCAAACCATATGTGGGCTTTCTTGTGTATCATTTGTAGAAGAGGCTTCCTTCTGGGACGACAGCCCTGGAGACCAGTTTGATGCAGTGTGCAGCGTATGGTCTGAGCATTGACAGGCTGAACACACACACCCCTTCAAACTCTGCAGCAATGCTGACAGCACTCAGACGTCCATTTCCTAAAGCCAAGCTCTGGATATGATACTGAGCACGGGCACTCCACTTCTTGGGTCGACTATGGCGAGGCCTGTTCTGAGTGGAACCTGTCCTGTTAAACTACTCCGTGCTGCAGCTCAGTTTCAGGGTTTTTGCCTTCTTATAGCCTAGGCCAGACCTGGGCAAAGTGCGGCCTGCGGGCCACATATGGCCCTCGAGCTGCTCCAGTCTGGCCCGCCCATCACCGCTGAGTAAGCCGGAGCTCTGGCTCCGGTCACCCAGCATGGCAGTAAGCAAAAATTGCGAGATCCAACACTGGAATTTCACGAGTTTTGACTGTTACTCTTCAGCTGCAGGCTATGGAGCCTGCAGCTCAAGAGGCCAGAAGCGATCCTTGCGCAGGCGACGTGATGACGCATCACGTCGCCTGCGTGGGATAGAAAACAGTTGGAGAGGAAGGCCGCAGGGGAACGGAGAACAGATGAGTTAGCTCAGTGTCGGGGGGGGGGTTCCTTTGCCCCCCTGCGGTGAACGAATTACAATGCTCACATAGTTAACTCCCGAAAATGTTTAGGGAGTTAACTATATCAGCCTTGTAGTTCATTCACCGCAGGGCCTCACCCAATGGGGGCCTATTACTACCCACCTAACGGGGGGGGGCTATTTTTAAGTAAAGTTGGTTCGGCCTCCAAACACAGTTCAGACTTTTTATGTGCCCCCCCATAGAAATTAATTGCCCACCCTGGCCTAGGCCATCTTTATGTAGAGCAGCAATTTGTTTTTTCAGATCCTCAGATAGTTCATTACTATGAGGTGCCATGAGGAACACAGATACATTGGTGCCTCGCATTATGAGCGCTCCATTTTACGACGAAATTGCTTTATGTTGAAGGTTTTGCAATCGCAAAAGCGATCGCAAAACGATGTTTCCTATGGGGGAATTTCTCACAAAGCGATAATTTTTGGCCAGCTGATCGGCAGTTTCAAAATGGCCGCTGGGTAAAAAAACATGGCTCCCCCGCTCTTTTCTGCGATTGATTCCTCGCTGCACATGCAGCAAATATGGCCGCGCTATGGAGGATCTTCGCTGGACGGTGAGTTTCAAGCCCCTAGGAACGCATTAATCGGGGTTTAATGCATTTCTATGGGCTTTTAAATTTCGCATTACATTTTCGTTCTACAGTGATTTCGCTGAAACGAATTAACGTCGTAATGTGAGGCACCACTGTAGTTCATTACTATGAGGTGCTCTTCCAGTGACCAGGCTGAGAGAGTGAGAGTGATAACACCTGCTCCCCCTCCACACCTGAGAGTTGTGACACTAACGGGTCTCATGACACCAAGGAGGGAAAATGGCTACTTGGGCCTAATTTGGACATTGTCACTTACGGGTGTACTCATTTTTGTTGCCAGCGGTTTAGATATTAATGGCTGTGTGTCACGTTATTTTGAGGGGACAGCACATTTACACTGTTATACAAGCTATATACTCACTGCTTTACATTGTAGCCAAGTGTCATTTCTTCAGTGTTGTCTCAGGAAAAGATATAGTAAAATATTTATGAAATGTGAGGGAGTGGACTCACTTCTATTATATACTCTAGCTAGAGGAAAAGGATCTTGTCACTGAAGTTTATCTTGCGTGGTTAACATAAGCATCCAGAAATTGCCTATGATCAGGAGCTAATAAAATCTAATTACCAGTGAAACCAAGTGGGGCTTTGAGGAAACTCATTTCAGGAAATTACATACCAGTTACTTAAGTTGTGACATTGGTAGTACAGTATCTGAAAATTTTTATATTTCTAGCGCTAGCGTTTCGGAGATAGTTTGGGATACATGAACTTTTAAAAAACGTTAGATGATTCACTGTATTGCAGCTCTATGTTGAAAAAGAGCATGTCAAGGATAAAGCTATCTTAGGTGGGCAATAAGACCATGGAAACAGGCCACGAGACTGACAGGTATGAGAGCCTCAGCAGGCAACCAAGAATGCAGACCCTCCTGGCACTAGCCTGTCACATGTGCTACAAGATCCATCAGCATAATTGTGCTGGGAAAGTGAGTGTATGCGGACCACTGACAGAGCACTAGTCAGCTCTGTGTTAGACTAATAGGACCCCGGTGGTACTGGGGACAAGGATGACAAAAAAAAAATACTTCACTAATTATGATCATCCCTTGTGGTGGAGGTGTAGAGTAAGAGAGGTGACAGCAACTTCAGGGACACATGGCAGGTTGTAAAAGCAGTCTCCAAGAACAACTTGTGAGTTCCTGGCCCCCTCTAGCCTATAGAAACTGAGTCCATTACTGTTAGGTTACTTTAAATTGATTTCCCCCCAACATGACCTAGGACTTATGCTACACATGATGGGCATCTGAATGACTGGCACCAGGAAGATCAGCATCCAACGTCACACATTCTGAGGTTCACACAGC